TACAGGTCAATCCATTCCTCAAAAAGTCAAACCTATCACATGATTGATGTTCCTGTTTCTTCCCCTTCCCGTCAAAGAAGGAAACACGCATCACTTTCCATTATTCTATTCTATCATGAAAAATCATGGGGACAAAAAAAATTAAAACAAAACAAAATGCATTCTCCACATGCTAGAGCAGTCATCATGTATCACTTACCTGCTTGTATGTGAGCATGTAACAAAGAGTCTGGACATCTCTGTGTTTTAGGAGTAAGGCCAGCTCGCACGACATTGTGCTGAAGTTTGCCATGCATTCGATGCACTCACCACTTATATAAGCATGTGGCTCATTTGGCCCAATCTCATGGCTTCACCGGGATTGAGTTTCATGTAGTTCGTACGAAGGCTGCTATGACCCCAATATCACTAGGATACTGCTTTTCTAACCTCAGCGCTAGTTTCTCCTTATCTGTCAACTCCCTCACCTGATTAAAACGTGAAACCGTTATTATTTATATATATATATATTAATATATACTGAATTGATTTTGAGGAACAATAACATGAAGTGAAAATAAATTTTCTTTTTAAGAAGTCATTGCAACTCGGACTGATGGATAGACTGATGGATATCGAAGGGTAGCTACAATAGTAAACAATTCAAAGGGAAAATAAACATACAATGATCAGACGACTTTCTTTCAAAAGTAATCACCCACCACCTGACTTTCTTTGATCAGACGACTTATCAATCTGCCTACTGATTCAGTGACTTCCTTTTTATCTGCGAACATGACCGGTAAAACACTGCCGCCAATTCACTGTTTTATAGTCTCTTTCGTTATCTTGATCAGTGAGTCCAAAGATTGGTAATATCTCTCCAAAGCCAACCAGTTCCATAACCTCAAGTACAGTACGAATCACACAACCTTCAGCTCCTGAGTAAAAATAACACCGAAGATTGCTTACTTGGTTCACTGATGACAATGCTCCAAAGACAAATAAAACAACATTTTTTATTTGCATGCCATCTACAAAAGGCCAGGTCCAGACATCGTGGAAACTCTTCGAATTACACAAAATGAAAGCCTGAATATGTAGTAAGATCAAAGCATATGTTATTACAACTTTTGAGTCATAAGTTAGATGAAGTATTATATATGCGAATATTCCAGAGGATAGCAGATTCCATAAGCTTTCAGAACATTATAAAAAAAAAAATTATAATTCACTGAAAGGAGAAAGAGAAGAAGACAAAAAGCATTGGATTCTCTTCTGTAATTCTATAGTCATATATGAATAACATTAAAATTCAGGAGCTCGAGTTTTGCTAATGTTTGAAACAAAAAATTTTCAACTCTCGTTTGAAAATGATGCTTCATGAACAGCCTAATATGTCAAACTTTCGGAATCATTTATCAACCAATAACACATATTTTTTTCTGAAAAAATTAACTTCCGCGAACCCAACCCCATATCATATATTACGGGCTCTAAATTGACTACTGTAAGAACAATAAAAGCTTGGAAAGTGATTACTCAAAAAACTCGTCAAGTGTAGTCAGATTGTAACTGAAGGTTTTGAATCTCAGACAATCAATAGTAGCTTAGACCTGCATGCTGATCTCAACCAATTTGTATATGCAAAGCGAGTTTTAAAAAAAATTAAAATAACAGCGGCAAAGCCAATATCGTTTACTCCTAATTTGTATATTTATAAACGATTGTCATTGATCTTTTCACATGTATTCTCCTCATCATTATTGGCCATCACTGGTACGCTCAGATAGAATCCTGTGAACAAGGAGTTACGAGATTAAATTGACTGTGAAAATCACAGAATGGTCCAAATTAAAATTTTATTAATTAAATCATCTAAAATAATTTAAAAAATCAAATTTTTAATATCTGTTTTTTTAAATTTTCTAATGTGATAAAGTCAACTGTGATTTTTCTTTGGCTTAAAAAAGAAAAAGAAAAAACCGTAAATTCCGCAAAAAATATTTTAAAAAAAAAAAACTTCTGTAACAACATTACGGAAGTCTACCCAACAAGGAGTTATTTTTCCAAAAAAGCAAAAACTGAAGTGCAAAACTACCGAATTTAAAAATGGATGATTAATCACCCAAAAACCAGAAGATTAAAATATTAATTTCTTAATAAATCCAAGCAGACTTTAAATTTTCCAATCACCATCAATAGCGATACTTTCTGACTTCTGAGAAAAGGCTCAAGATATTCCGACTCACTTATCTTATAGTTCATATGAAGGAATTAAGGATCAAACATAAGAAAACAAATTTCTCCGACAAACAGATAAAGAATTGTTTATGACAGCGTCACTGAATAACATATCAGTTTTTAATTTCCCCTGATACCCAAACTCAATGAAAGTAAAATAAAAGATTTGACGAAATACAATGAGTACCTCCAGAGAGATAAACCCACACAGAGCTTCAAACTCGGTCATTGCCAAAGCCATCTCAGGTTTGTGATTCCCGTCCTTATACAGATCAGGATACAATTTATGCAAAGTTCTGGCTAACTCTTTATCTGGATGAGCCTGTATGGACAACGCCTTTGCCACCGAGAGTACCTAAAACACAAAGAACCACCACAAGAAGTTCACAATTCAATACCATTCTTTAATTTCATATCTAGACCTCGAATTGGAGTTATCATTATACCTTGAACAAGAAAGGGAGATCACAGCCCCATTTTCCAAGAACCTTCTCGCCAAGAGCATTAGGATTCTTCGACAGCCACGACTTAAGGGTCATATTTTCATCACCAGAGAGCAGGAAAGATGGGCCAGAGTCATGCGTACCCATCCAAAACTCAGCGTAAGGCTTGTCGGGTTCGGGTTCGGATCCGGAATTCAGCGAAAAGAGCCTTGCGACTTGAGAGTCTCCGGCCAGTCGGCCCCAATCGTAGTTCTTAACGGAGCATCGGAGCATCAGAAGCTTATCCTCCGTTTCCATTATTGCGAGAACAGAAACTTCCACACGGAATTGCAAGGAAGTGAGGAATCGAACTTAAGGTGAGGGAATGGAGAAAAGGGAAGTGAATGCGAATTGCGAAGGTGGGTATGTGACCGTCCCCGCTTATGCTTGCTGCTATTTGAAGCGTTTGGGATGGCACCTCCAGGGACAGAGAGGAAGACGAAGAGAGAGAGAGAGATAACGACGAGTAAGGAAGACGTTAGAGAGAGAAAAAGAGAGGCAAGTGGGGTATGATTCTGTTTTTGCAGTTTCGTTTCTTATCCTCAAGCGAGTCGTTCTCGAAGAGCACGAAATTTCTCACTGGAAGGAAACTCAGGTTTTCATACTTTTTTAAAGCAGAGAAACTCATTTTTCTTCCAAATACGGCTGTAATAAATAAACGAAAATTTATATACTCCTCCGGTCCTTATTATAAGACCCAATTTGACTTTTTATTTGGTCCTAATTATAAGACCCAATCCATTTTCTCTCTTATATTTATGTATTTTTTTTCAAGATAATCCTTCTAATAATGATAGTTTTAGCCAATATACTTAATTAGCAAGGATATTTTAGGAATAACAACACTTATTTATTATAAATAACCAACTTAACTTACTTCCTTAATCTCCTCAAATAAGTCAATTGGGTCTTATAATTAGGACCGGAGGAGTATAATAAATTATATAAATAAACAATATATAAAAATAGGACCAGGAAAAAAACTTGGAAAAAAAGGGAAGTCATTGCATATAAGAAATAAGGTAGGAAATTTATGGGGGTTAAAATTTTTTAACATGCTAATTAAATATAATATAATAAAAATTCAAAGGTAGTTTTAAATTTTTTACATTAGGCAGCATAAAAATGCTTTTGCGGGCAACAAGCACGGGATGCTTTATGAATTTTCAAGTTAGTCATAGAATTATTATATTTATAAGGTCGAGTTAAAATTAAGAAAATAAATAAAACAAGTGAGTTTTGGGAAAAAGGGATTGTGACCCCAGAAAAGTTTGTTATGGAAGGCCAGCCACGTCTGATAGAGAGAGGCACGTGAAATGCATTATTTTAATGTGCCTGAAACGACAAAGTAGCGCTCCGTTTTCTCGTAAAGAGAACCGAAGCGGTGATGCTAAACGACGTCGTCACTTCAGGCGCCGCCCCGACCGCCTGGGAGTGGTTGCATTAGCCTAGCAGGCGCCCATAGCGTGACAGAGTGGGTCCCATTCCCCTTCCCGGCAACAGACAACAGAACCTGTTTAACGCGACATGGAGACTAGCATTAATTTCTGATAAGAGCTGCATAAAAACTCTAAAAAATAATTATTAAATTTTAAAATTTTAAATTAAAAATTATTATAAAAATATGCTGTTATTTACTTTTCAAGTGTATTATTTTTTTTACGAATATAATAATCAATACTGATTTAAAATATTAAAATTTAACAGTTATTTTTTTTAGATTTTTTCAACTCATTTTGAAAGGTCAAAGAACCTAGATAAATTGATTAATTATAATAAATATATGTTAATTTTTTAAACTACTTTTTTAATTACATATAGTATTGGAACTATTTTTTGATATAACTCTTAATAATTAATATATTTTTAAAAAATATTATAAATTTTAAAAAATTAATTAAAATTTTATATTTAGGATCAGATCTAATTTCGAGCTAAGTCTAATATTAACTACTGGATGCTTTGGATCAAAGCTTCTAAATCTAATATCATAAATTTTTATATTTCCGACCAAATTAAATATCAAACCAGTTGTTATATTAAAGATAGGTAATATTTCTTATATGATTTGACAATAACTTTTATATTCCCAAATTGTGATTACTAGTCAGTTGATGGTTGAAAATGTTACATTGCAAAATTTCAATGACAATAGCTTCTTTTCCTGGTGGAGAGCTTGGGGCCCTCTCTTTTTAGGTTGTGTGTACTCTGTTGGTTTTTGATTCAATAAAACGATATTTCTAGGCTGAATAAGAAAAAAAATCCAGGATGGAAAAGAATAATCTAACACAGTTAAAAAGACCCTGTGGGCAAGTCAATCTCAACAAAAACATGGGGCCAAGTCAATGTTTTAACGTAAAAAATGGTGTCAGCAAAAAGAGAAAATAATGTTAAGAGGACAAACTCCTAAAAATAGTAAATTTTTTTATTTTTAGAATTTAATTATAGTTAATTTAATAGGATTTTTTTAAAATATATTATTCTCTCTTCGACCTTTTTTTTTTTATGGATAAATAAAAAAAATGGAGTTTTATATTTAAAGTCAAATTAAATGTCAAATTAATTCTTATATTAGATACCAACTAATTCAGCTAGTAAAATGCCATTCTATCTTAACTTGTAACTCATTCTTGTATATCAAGAAAATTATTAAATTGACAAGATTTTCTAATTTTATTTTCATTAATTTTTTTTCTTTCTCTATATTTACAAACCGTCCTCATATCTCTCACTTCTTTCTCTCTTTTCAATGACTTATATTAAATATTAAATATACTACAATTGACTTGTATTTAGAATTAAATCTTTTTATTACATTTAAAACCAGAATGGTATTATTCAATGTTTATCTCATAGTACTATTTATAGAAAGAAGAAGAAAAATCAAAATATAACAATTAATGCACAGGAAATAAGAGGCCGGGTGGAGACGGGAAAGGTATAGGCGTCAAATACATCACAGTCATAAATTATGAGCTGATAACTAAGCCGGTGATGATAAGATAACATCAATTGTAATTGAGAGCGCATTGGACGTTGGACCCCTATCTCATGAGAATGACGCAGGGGTCGTTTTATCTGGAAAAAGAAGAAAAGGAAAAAAAACCATGTGTCTTTGATGAGATATGTATTTGCGTCATCTCATTTATAAATCATTTTTAATATATTTTTAAAAATAAAAATAAATAAATATGTAATCTCATTTTTAATCTTATTTCTCACCGATTAAAAAATATTCACTCCCATTCACGGTATAAGCTTCTTCTAAAACATGATTTAATCCAAAATATAAATCATTAATACTTATTTGTCAATTTTGTTTTTATAATTAATGATTAATGTAACTTTGTGTTTTTCTCGTTCCTTTACAATCTCATTTTATATGGGAAAAGTTTTTAAAAAATTAATTTTTAATTTAAAACAAATTTAATGAGCAAACTACTACTTTTTTTTTTTTGGTTCAAGGCATTGTGTCGGTAACTATCATGTTTTCTTTATACTGATAAATTAGTTAAAATGATTTTTATTTTTGCTAAAATATAGGTATCCTCCTATTAGAGGTAACCCTATTCTAGACATATCTTCCAATAAGAATTTAAATTTTAGTTCACCACGTTGTGAGGAACTAACTCTTTCTGTTAGACCTAACTCTTATTAGTTAGTTAAAATGATTTCTATCGTAGATGGGGACAACATTCCAATTGCACAGGCTGGTCAAGTCTATGGCCCAATGTTACGGGACAGACTACTATTGTGCAAATTTTCCAAAAACCCAAGGCATGGCAAAGCTTCTTAAGAGTTAAGAGGCCCTCAAAATATCTAGTTTCAAGTACTATACATGGTTCAAGTCCCAAAAAAAAGTACTATACATGGTGCTACAATCAAAACCTGTGATCTTGAGTCACATTGAATCATTGCTTAATAATTTAAATAGTTAATACCGTGAAAGTAACAACATAGTAATATTACCAAAAAAAGCTCTTAACATTAAAGGTAATTCTGTTCAAGACACTGTCAAGTATTCCTCCGATCCTTAATATAAGACTCATTTAACTAATTTGATTAGATTAAAGAAGTTAGATAAGTTAGTTAATAATAAAAAATGTGATACATTTTTCCTAAAACACCATAATCATCTTTCTTAATACCTTCTCTTTCTCTTTTACTTGGTTTTGAGAGAGTATTTATAGGAGTAATTTTGAAAAAATTGATAAATATGAGAAATGAGTCTTATATTTAGGATTAAAACTAACTCAGTAATTGAGTCTTTTATTAAGGACCAGAGGAGTATTAAATATGGATACCTCTCCCACTGAAAATTCAAATATTAATTCATTATAATCCCTTATGCTAAACCCAACCCCTCATTAGTTATCGTTTCATTATTGTGAATAGTGTTATTGATCTCCAATTTGCAGGCAATACAGCTTATATATAGTGATGTGATTTTTTAAGGACTTTGATGTCCTCATGACTTACATTTTAAACGTATATGACAAATAAAGTATTGCTCCGTCAGTTATTATAAGATTCTTTTAACTAAAATTATATGGTTTAAGAAAACAGTTAAAATTAGTTAAAAGCAATTAATACGTAGCAAATATAATTTTTTTCCAAATATACCCCTATATATAAATGAGCAAATGTGAGAAAGTAATGGTAAGATAAATGAAGAAAAAGAATGTATTAAATGCATTAAACTATGGATAAAATAGGTAATAATGCATTAAATATTCAGACAAACTCAAAAAAATCTTATAAAAAGAGACAAACCTAGTAAAAAAATTAGAACTTATAATAAGGACCAGGGAGAATATATGGCAATACGTCTTTTCTCTTTTTTAATTTACACGTGTCCGTATCCCACATTTACGCCAAAGTTTATACTTTCCAATCGAAAGTCTTTGTGATAAATGAAATGGTCTAGGTGTTCACTGATGGGCACATAATAAGCACAATGCATAACTATTTTGTTCATTGAATTTTAGTCGAACGAGTATAATTTTTGAAAAATTATTGTATTAAATTGAGATATATATAATAATTATTTTTTTATATTTATTATCCGTCTCTTTTTCTTATTACTTTATTTAGAAATACAAATAACATTTTTTTAATTTCATTTTTTTGACTTAAGTTTAATTTCATTTTTCATCAATTACTTTTTATTCTCTCTGCGTATCAAATATATACAACCCAGATGGCTGATTTGACGTTTTTAAAAAAAGATGTCTGAATTGATAATTACCGAGATAGTGAGAAATTTCATGACTTGTAAATTAGTAATTGATCAAACTAATTATTGGTAAACATATTAGCATATTGATGCACTTTCCAATGCGCAGAGAAAATGCACAGCACGGGACAATCTTTTTTTTTTTTTGACCTGGATACGCAACAGTCTTTTGAAACCATACAAAGCCCTAATGTAATTGAACAGCAATGCTTCTCTGTATGAAAAACAATGACTAATAATTAGAAAATTGACAAACAATGTCTTACAATGACCTATTTACAGTTAATAATAAGGTTAAATGCATAAACTGAAAAACACCACAAAAAGGTGGCTTCCATACGCAATGGTAATATTGTTCCAAACAATCTTGTTTTTATCATGTCTGATTTATTACCAGAAAAATGAATATCACACAAAATTTCATAAAACTGGAAATTTCCATGGGTTTTGTTGGACTGGGCTGGGCCCAAGATGGATTAAAATGCATAGATTGGCCCAAATGTTAGATTTGAGCTAAGCTAAAGGTCGCTATGTTGGTTCAAGTATGCCTATCAACATGGTACCAAAACAAAAAAAAAGTATGCCTATCAACATTCTCCTTATAAAGGACCTAAGGAATTTACTATTTAAAGGACAAACGATAATTTCCAGTAACTTTGAGAGAGAAATCTTGCAAGAGGGCCTAGAAGTTGTTTGTTCTGCTGTTTCCTCCTGGCATCAACTTCTGCAGTTGCATTTTGGGATTCTTCAGGAGCTGACGTCGTCTTAGTGACATGTTTATGTATGTGTAGCAGTCTTCAAGACCGTAAATTCAATACTAAAAATAAAAGAAGAAAAAACATGGTGGGGTTTTGCAATTCTGATTGAGGAGTGGAGGAGAGTAAGCGACGGCAACTGGGTTTCTGTGAAAAGGCTCACAAAGACGATATGGTTAGGGTTGGGTAACTTATTGGGTGATTTTGAAAAGGATTAGAAATTTTGAAAGATGAAATATGAAATGAAAATTTGAAGGGAAAAGTGAAGGAAACTAGCATCTCAGAGAGGAAAGACTTTATTGGCACATTTAAAAACATGTGTGGACGCAAGAATCAAAACAACTATGAGTGAGTCACTTATTTAATCGAGAAGAGATTTCAGAACATTAATGACAGAGAATAAATTGCAGTGCAAGTTTGATAACCTGTTGTAAAAATTCTTAAAAAGAATTTTAAGAATGATGACGCAAAAGCTCTTGATGTGCAGCAATAATATGTAAGCTCCATGACGTAGTTTACATTTGATTGATTGATATTTGATAATTTGATCGTTTATCATCAGCATGGTAAAAATCAAAACTTCAATTACTTGCTAGAAGGCATTAAACCTCATAGCTAGGACAGTTACTTAAATTCGTATTTACCTTGTTGATATTTGAGTTTCAATAACAAGTCTTGCAAGAAGTAAATTGAAACCCACCAGTATAGTCAATCTCCTAACCAATGTAAATCTATGATTTGAAAATTATCATAGACTTTTATTCCTAAAAAAAAAAAAAAAAAGAGAAAATGATCATAGACTAAAGTCTCAACATTTTGACATTTACAAGAAATTCCTCTCACTTTATTAGTCTTCCATGCTAGTGGAGGAAAACATTTGTCAAAACATGGTTATTGTGCTGGAGTGAGGCCTTGAGCAATTTGATACCCTAGTAGGGGACAAAAAAAAAAAAAAAACAACAGTAGTCAGCGTACTTACATAAATAATTATCAATGACAAATTAAGATAGAAAAATCCTAATTAAATTCAATTAAAAAACTAAAATTCAGATTTGAGCACACACTGTTAGCAAATTTCTCTTTAGGCTAAGAAAAGGAATTCGGCAGAATTTTGTTAAATGACCATATTGCCCCTCACTTTTTTTTCACCTCTTTTTTCCCTCAAAGCCACGTCAGAATTTATGCTTGAATTTCTATTTTGGTTTTTCATCAGTTGGATTTAATTGGGATTTTCCCAATTAATTAGATCAATAAAACATAATTATTTTCAAGTCAAATACCATAGTATCTCTACTTTCAACTTACCTCGTCAGTCCCCAGCTCAACGACCCTTTTTTGTATGCCACTAACATCTTCAATGTTGAACTTTTCCAGTAGGGTGAAGTAATAAATGGGAGACATGGGCTGAACTTCAAGATCATCCATCACCATGTAAGTCCCAGCTCCTCCACCCTTACTAGAAGAAGAATCTGTCATCACTTCCCTAGCCTTCTTAGTAACAAATTGCAATGTAACTGCCATTTCACGGTTGCAAGATGGACATAAAGTTCCTTCTGAGTTTGTAACAAAATTCTCACAGCGCTTTGGGCACATGTACAAAGTTGAAGGCAGAAGACATCCAGAGACAGCAGCAATTGGCTTCAGCAAAAGGTCAATATCTCTGTTTGGATTTACCATATAATAATCATTGAGATTCTGAATGCTTTTATAGAATTTGCCTAATGAACCCACCATGCCTTCATTGGTAATGAGACTTGTGAATGTACCGATAGGCATGCGATACAGGTTGAAGAGTAAGTCGATAAAATCCTGGGTTGCTTCAGCAAACAGAACTCTTTCAGTATTTGTGTCTATCAGAAGCTTTAAGCTAACCTTTTTGGGCGATGATGAGGATGAAGACATTGCGGAGGGCCGATTTGATTGCTTTCTATATTGTCTGCACAAAGGAAAAAAAAAAGAACTAATCTTTTTATTTATGATTATAAATTATGAGCACGAATTAATAGCATGAATAACTGGTAATAACTAAGCTAACCATCTGTCAAAACGAAATAGATCCCCTAAAGTATTATATGTGGAATGACTGAAAAGAAACGGGATGAATAATACAGAGATCCAACTTTATGTTTCTGTATCTCTCTATTTAACTTTAATAAGGTGCTCAAGGGGATCAAAATTCAGTCAAGACAAGATATCAGTTCAATCTATTTATAGTAATAATAATTATTTAGACAAGTTTGTTTTTCATCTGAAAGAAAGATTATCTTGGTTTTTTTCTGAGTTATTCTCGGAAGTATCTCCTTTCTCTTTTTCTCTGACTGCTATCTGCCAGCTTTTTCTTCTAGAAACCTCTAATTTGAGAAAGAATTACGACAAGAAGTCTAAAACGATTCGAATTTTATCAAGAAACGGACTTAAAAAAGAACAGCAAATATTCAGAGCAGGGGCGCAGCAGAAAGAAAATGATAACAATAGGAATGACAAGAATGACAAGTAGCGTGTATCGCAATCGATTTGTGTGTTCTAATTTAATCAGACTAAAAAGAAGCAGCAAATCTTCACTCCCTTTTTGAGTCTTGACGACGATTCAACCCACATTGTTCAAACATCATATCGAAAAATGTATCGCAATCGATTTGTATGTTCTAATTGAATCGCATGTCAGTATTTAGAGAGTTTGACGAAAGAAAGACAAGAACAGATTGAAAAAGAACAGAGAGATGATCGGACCTTTCAGGTTCGACGGCGTCGATCGTCTTCGTCAGTCACTAAGCTTGAGATCGTCGGAGAAATGGAGATGAAGTTTGGATTCAACGGGAGGACTGCCCTTAAATAGGAAACAAGAATCATGGAAATTTTTTTTTTTTGGGGTGCTTTTCAATTCTTTTTCGCCCTCAATTTTCCCGCGTAATTCTGGTATTTCTGTCGAGCGAGCACGTGGGCTGATGGGTGGCTGATCATGAGGGTTATAATGGCCTCATGACCATTTTACCCTTCAGCTTTTCTTTTTTTTTTTTCTTTTGGCAATTTCGTCCTTTGCTTAATATGCTGAAATTATGAAATAATTTCTAGAAATCAATCCTTACCATATCGTTAAGACTTTCTTCCTCAATTAGCTTCTTTAGACCATAAGGTAATTTCTAACATTTTCGGAATAAAATTTTTGAGGTTTTATTACCTTCACAAAGGTTTCAAAACTAAAGATATTACAATACACATTTTATTATATTTTATTGCAGAAGAAACAAGTTATATTTGATATATAAATACTTAATAAATATAAGCAACTTGATTTAAATGTTGTTCATATATATATGCATATGAATATATTATATTTTATTGCAGAAGAAAGAAGTTATTTTTTTTATGTGCAAAACAAAAAGGGATTTAAAAAAATTAAAGGATTATTTCGTTTTTGATAGTTATTTATTTAATCAGTGAATAGGAACATACTCTGGATTATAATTGAGGGCAGTACTGTCTTATTTTTTGTAAGAACTTAAAACCCCAATTTGTATTCTTTTTATATTATGCAGAAATGCAGATATTAAAACAACTGAATATTTTCACTTATCACGTATTCAACAGTAACTCTTATTATGAACACTTTAATTTAGAGCCTATGCTTTTTCCTTTTGTTGGCTTGCTGAATGACCAAAGAAACAATATCCAAGTTTAATTTAATTTATTTACTTTTTATATATCTATAATTAAATTGTTGGGGAAAAAATCTATAATTAACACCTTTTGTTTTGGCAGCCATAAGTGACTGGTCATATTATCGCGTCCCTAAATAGCGACGCCTCGTGTTGCTTTGGATTTAATAAATAAAATGATATTTAAATTTAAATTAATTAAAAATAATCAGAAGAATTTGAAGTTCATTGCATTAGCAGTGTAAAGAAACAATAACCCTATTATCTGGTCAAATAGAAGCTTTAAAAACACCACAAATAATTAACGTAACACAAAGCAATTTTGTGATATTAATATACCAACGAAAACTATTACATCATCGATCAAAAGCAATGCTGTGATATTAATCTGTTGGGTGAATGCCCGGTGATGAACTAATAATCAAAATAACTTCAAGGGTAACACTAAGATAATGTAAATAATTCTATTTGCAAAAACTTAACTCCTAGGGCAAACATCGAGTCCTAATAATGTTTCAAGGACCTTCTCGCTCTCGTACTCCTCCTCCTTTAATTTATCGCCACTCGCTTTCATATTTCTGAGCAAAACACTCGTCAAAACATTCTTGCATTGGAGGGAGGCCTGCAATAGTTGGATGCCCTACCAAAAACATGGGAAATAATAACAACATTAAAAAAAAAAAATTCAACTAAACTAGTTTCAATGAAAAATAAATACACACACACACACAAGTTTGCACACGTGCGCGTGGGGTGCAGCGGGCTTGTTTTTGGGTGCTCATCAAGAGTAATAAGCACCCATTAAAATAATTGTTTTTTAAAAGATAAAGTAAAAAGGAAATTAAATATGGATAATCGGAACGGGTCTAGATTCCCAAACCCATTCCTCCTTTTGTGTGTGTGAACTTTATTCCAACTCAAAAACATGAACAAGAAAGCGAGGGTACTTTTAAATCTCACCTGATCCATCCCCAAGTGAACGATCTTTTCTTGCAAAGAAGCAATGTCATTGATGTTGTACTTAGAGAGTGAAGTGATAGTAGAAATGGCAGACAAAGGAAAAACTTGTAAATTGTCCATCACAACATAAGTCACAACCCCTTTCAATTCACAAATCCACCCTCACTACCAAAAGAACCTGTCACCGCTGTATTATTCTTGCCAACATAATTTGATGGCCCGATCGATAATTCGCTTGGCCGGCCGGCGTTGGCCGGTAGAAGATAGCCGAAGTTTAATGAACTAGTGGTTGGGTTGAGCAAAGCGTCTTTGTCTTGCTTTGGATTCAACAAGTAAGCATCTTTAAGATTCTCAACACTTTCATAGAGTTCCGCCATGCAACCCATCATGCCATGCTTGGTTAAGATCCTTATGATTGATCCAAGCGGTAAACGAAGCCGATTGAAAAGGAAGTCTATGAACTCCTTTGAAGCTTCTGCGAAGATAACCCTTTTGTGAAATAATGATTTTATTCTTTTTATTTAGCTGATAATGGTCATAAATTTCTGAAATAGCTCTACAATAGCAACGTCCTTTTACAAGTAACAAAGATGTGTGATGACTGAAATGTCTATATATAAAAAATTCTAATAATAATGCATTGGGAATTTAGTTTTAATTTTGAGAATTCTCCATATTTTTGACTAAGGAATTATTCTTTCGTATTAGTATTGATAAATTCCTTCTACGACTAGAAAATGAAGTACATTATTGGTGTCCTGAGTATTCAAGTTATTACACATCTTTTCTAGTTTTCAAAAAAGACCTAGCTAGTGCTTTAAATTAGTTTAAATAATAAATAAACGAATAAGTTTGATAAATGTGTTTGAAAATTTTAGAATTATAAATAAATCAAATTTATATATTTTAAGTTAATATTTGAAAATTGAAACTTAATTTTGTATCTATTAGCATAGGAAAATTTGCCAAGTTTATAACATAGTTAAAATTTAGTATATATGCCTTAAAAGAGTTTTAATTTTGGCCAACTAAAGTCTTTAAAATATTGTCAGATAATGTTTAATTTAAATATAGGGGTTACTCTTAGTCTGAAATTAGTTTAGTACTATGATTTACCCTATTTTTGATATGAAAGAAATGGAGGAGGGAAAGGGAGAAGATGAAAACTTTTAATGGCTTTAATTTGAAATTTTCAAAAATGAGATTATATAATTTTAATAAAGATAGGATGTAAGATAAAAGAGTACGAAAAATATGTAAAAAAATAAAAGAGTAAAAAAATTAATTACAAGCTTTTAACCCTCACTACTTCAATGCTTCAAAACAAATCCATTAAAATTTTCTGTCCCCTCCGCTCTGCATCCCTTATATCAAACACACCCTTGATTACAAATTAACTAGTGAACGAATGGAAATAAAACATTAAAAATAAAGGGTAGATTTGATTAACATAATTTTTTGGTTCGAAGAAGGAATGGTTTTTGCAATGAAGATAACTAGGAAAGGTTAATATATTTTAATAAAAAATTTTAAAAATGAATTTATAACTATACGACTATATAGCATGGTTTCATGGATTTTCAGCCACCCTACTTAAACTTTTCATTCTTTGCTTGTAATTGAGATCTAATGGATGTTGATGATACACTGCAACTGATCAGGTTGTCAATTGAGATCTAATGGTATTTCAATTTTAAGATGACTGAATTAAACATATTTGTCACAAATATATTTCCTCCTATATTTACTATAAGGACTTGGCATGTATATTTCACAATATGACATGCATGTTGTGTTTGAAATATTAATTTTTTCCTACTTAGCCAATATTTTTAACTATTACAAAACATCCTAACTAATTAATTTCTAACTTATGATTTTTATTGCAGCCAATATTGATGTTTCACAAGAAATAACTAATTTTAAATGACTTTCGTATGAAAAGTAGTTAATTGTTGGGGCTCATTAAAAAAACTGAAGGGAGTTCTTTTGGCGACAAGGGACATCAGAGTCGGATGAGAAGAAATAAAAGATTCATTTTGCAATACATTGGATGGAGTTGAGTAGCAAGCTAATGGTTTGGACATGAAATTCCAGTAAGGATTTGATCATTTCTATGAAATATTTTAAAGGAAGCAAGTCCAATAAAGGAGATAGGAGTATTATCCAAGAAACATTTAGATCATTTATTTACATATTCATCATCAATAATCACCCTCTTGATTGTGAGGCTATTTGGTTTGCATCTTGATTAGTATATTAACCCTGTAAATCCTCCAAAAAAAA